AACAGGAATTTTTACTCAACTCAGTTTAACTCTGTTTCAAACACAGTTTTTCGAAAGATAAGGAAATGAGCAACTATACAATTTAAAAAGTAAATATCTTTCTGCATCCTCAGAAAGCTATTCAAATTATTCTTTTCAGTTCTATCTATCTCAGTACTTTTGATGTCCCTCATTGCCATAAGTTCTTAGTCCTTTTGCAGTGATTTACAGATTTTATCCTTTTAACAGCTTTTCAAGGCAGAAATATGTCCTTACCATTTTAAAGCTGAGTTGAGAGCATAGCAGGAATTAAAGAGCTTCCCTAATTCCTTTGTGGTAGAGCTGGGACTCAAAGTCCAGTTCTCGAAGTCCTAATTCAGCCAGGCCAGCCTCACTCACTACACCAGAGCATGCACATTATCATAGCAAAGCCTAACTGCAGAATCAGATATTTCATGGGGCCAAAGCCTCTTTTCCGTTGCATCTTTCTGGTCATAAAGCCTCTGAACGGCATAACTTACGCAGTCTCCAGATGTGCAAGGTTGAAAACCGACAAGCCTATCTAAACTGCTCACCTTAGCTCCTGTCAATGCTGCACAGCAAGCTGACGCAGATGTGTCATTCAGCACGGATTTGGCACTTCTTCATTGTGCCTTCCTTCTCTTTCTGTTAAAGCATAAGAGCTGAGACCCCTTGGCTCCACATGGGAAAAGTCTGGCAACGACCAGGCTCTGGAAGTCCTGGCCAAGAGCAGCATCTGATGGTGCCTGGATGCTGGGCTGCTCTCCCATGAAACCCTGCACCGTCGGCTGTGAAATTCTTTTTGCTGCCAGTGCAAGGTTCTAGCTCTGATTAGATTTCTGTGTCCGTTTTATCACCAGCATTCTGTGTAATGATCTTCTGTGCTAATCCAGATGCCCGCCACCGGCATCATGGAAGTCTGCTAGCAATCCCACGAGGTGTTCTCTAAATTATTTTCCTGTGTTACAGGAAAGGGAACATGCCATTTAAAAATTTTAACTTATTTCTCTATTTTTGCTACTTTCTTTTAGTTCTGCACCAAATCGGCCAGGTGCGTATTTTGATTTCTGTTCTCTTGTTCTGCTTCTACAGTCTCTCTGCATCTGTTTGTAGTTCTGTATTTAAGGTATATGCTTAAACTTTGCAGCAGACAATTGTTTATTCTGCAGCATGGAATTGTTTTTTTCTGCTTCTTTTGCAATACCTGACTTTTAGGTGTGCAAGGAGATGAACCTAGAGCAAGGAGATCATAATCGAAATAGGTTACACTCACTTGCCTGTGCCTCGTTGTCAAATAAGCCCTTGGGAACTGTAAGCTGTTGGCAAGGTTTAAAATATTTTTTTAAAAAAATGAAATAAAGAAGCTCCACAAAGCAGCACTAAATTTCACTACTGTAATGTAGGATAAGTCCAAACCAAACAGTAACTGGTGCACTAGAGAACACAGTTCTGTGTACATCCATACAGCTGTCTCACTGGGCTTTACGATTTTTAAAACTCAGTAGGTATGCGCCCGCACAGAAGTTCATGTTTAACTGCCTAAAGAAATGATTCAATTTTTCAAAACTGCTGTGCAATCAGCAGATCCAACTGAAGTCAAAAGCAGGATGTGAAACTTTTTATTCTATAGTTCTGGTTTTTTTAATGCTTTTCTTAATGAGTTTATTCTGAACCTACTGCTAGCAGAGCCCTCAAAAAAATCAACAAAGAACAAGCATCTTAACTGTGCTGCAATATACTCTTACAATAAGTAAAAAATGCGGTGAGAAAGACAAAGTACTACTTTTACAGTATCCTGAGCCAAATCACAGGTTACTCAATTCGGGGTTTTTTTATTCGCACAGCCAACAGTGCTTTGTAGAGCAATCAGGGAAGATAATAAAATCCATTTTAAATTCTCATTACTTTAGAAGTGTTGAATCTTCTTAAATTGTTTTGAGGTTAATTGAGAATCTGCAGTTTTACAATGGACTGGGAATTGTTTAGACTGCCCTTGTTTCATATTTTTGTGCATACCTTTGTTACAAAGTTATAAAAACAACAATAAAAAAGAAACAAAGAAGTTAAATGAAATAATGGTCTGCATTGTTACTATTCTAGTAACTCATTTTTAAGGGAGATAAAGCTCAGGTATTGATTAATGTTTAAATGGTTATTAAGTGGAAGGACTTGTTGAGTTGATGGAATATCTCACTATGCACTAGCATTTGCCTTTTATTCTTTTCTACTTACTCCCTGAGGGATAATTTCTGCACCTGGGGAAGCCAGTGCTGAAGCCAGCTCTGGGTGACTTTTGTGGGAGCATGAATAAGCCAAGTATTTTCAGTATTTGTTTCTTTTTCTCATAAATTCAAAAAGGTTCTAGTTTCCAAATTTACCCTCAATTAATTTTAACATAATAATAGCTCATAAAAATGTGGAATTTTTCATGGCTGTACATACTGCAGTTGTCATTCTGAAATGGGTGACCTGAACACCAGTGTGTTCCTACGTACCACAGAAAAGTCAGTCTGGTTGAGCAGCCCTGAGGGGGTTGCATTTTTCAATCCTGAAGCAAAGTCTTGGTAAAGAACAGCACTGATGTGGACAATATTGTCTGTTAGCACCTCTGAAATTAGCCACGTTCATCTTCTGCAGGATAATGTCACTTCCCCTGGAGGTACACCAAAGAAATTTTGGTGCAACTGATGATTTTTGTGGTGAGAGGTATATCTCTGATAAATTAAGAGAAAGTTTTCTGTTAAAAGCAATTTTGGTCTTCAAAGACAGAACTCAGTATTTTTTCTTTGAACTAGGGTTCTTTTGAAATTAGAGTACTTTATTGATCTTTGGTGTATAATGTCAATCTGTAGAATAGTTTATTGAAAGGGCCCTGCGGACCACACGGCAGACTCATAGCAATTCTGGAGCCCTGTGCTTTCTAAGGCATAAAGTCAGGCCCTGCTCTGCCTCCAGCTAATCCAGTCATAATGGATACCTGATCTGTGGTCTGGGAAAAGATGTCTCTGTTTATGGCCTGCATTCCTCAGGCCTGAGTCCATGTACGTGTCCTGCCTCATTTAGGCTTGAGAAAACCAATCTGCCCAGAACTTTTTGCTTTTTAACAATTCAGTTTTCTTCCTGATATGGTGTCCGTGCCCAAAATTTATTATTCAAAGGCTATAATAAGTCATATCCATTCTAGTCTTTCCTAACTTAGATGAGAAAAAATAGAACATCTTTCCTTAATGACACCTTCCCATGGCGTTATTTCAAATATTGGAGGGGAAGTTCCTGCGATAAGGGATGGAAAAGATCCATTCTTCAGTGCATTCAATAGTCTTTTACAGTGCCCTCTTAATAATGGAATTTAACCTTGAGCTATGCACTAGGTCATTTGCTTTTTCTTTTACCTCTGGCCAATGATCAGACCTACTGTGCAAACACACTAGCTTTTCTGAGATCCCAGCAAAAAATCTGAAGTTCACAGTGAAAAAGCACAAGTTATACGGGACTGAGAGGTCTGAAACAAGGACTGGGGGGCCAGAGGCAGATGGATAGGACACCCGCCCCTCGTTGTTAGCTGTGACCATGGATATCCCTTAACACTCTGCCAGAGGGACCAGCAGCCAATCACAACTTATTTTTTCCACTTTCCAGAGGTCACAAGAGACCAGAGCAAGCCTCTGAAATACACATTCAGTGAGACCATGTCTGTCTTTCTTGGGCTGCAATTTATTCTTTCCTCTTCTAGCACCTGCCATTTTATTTCATTTTTCTTACTTTTTTTTCCCCTCTGCTAACAATCTGTTATTTTTGATTATTCCCTGAGGAGATAGTTGCACTGATAAATTATTTTTGACAGCATTATCACACAGGACACCTTTCAGATGAATGCTGCTATGAGGCACTGGCTGGGCACATACTCATGAAACAATAACAGCTTTCATGTCAATTACTCGTGTCTATAGAAGATTGTATGGCTGTTTATGACCTATAACAATTTGTTACAAAAAAAGATAAACAGGTTATTATACTCAGTATTGATTATATGATTGAAATTGTGGTTCAACGTATTAACACATTTCGCTAGAGAGGGACTTGGTATCAGTTAATTTGGCTCAGTGTTGTTATATTACGTAATATATTTAACTGAGTCTAGAATTAGGCCTTAATCATGAACACTCTTATCTTTATTATTTCAGTCAAGTATGGCAGTTCTTAGTGCATAAACTTCACAATCTAAATATTTCCAGTACCAGGGTCTAAATATTTGCACTGATTAATGCAAAGAAAGCTCAGTGGTAAATTTTGTATTGAGGGGGCTTGACAGACAGCATTTTCAAATCCTTACTTAGACAACATGTATGTGGCTGAATTGTTGCAAGATTGTGAACATCTATTTGAAATCATTAGAAGCAAGAAACTACGGGTCACAGACTGCAGAAAAAAAATGCAAACTGTGTTTGCCATATAACTAGTTCTCATTAGACCTAACGAATCCATTGTCTAATTCTCTTTTTGCTACCATAACCCAAAATTTATCACATTTCCAACCTCAGCCAAAATAACTAAGAAAAAAAAATTTAAAAAATGAATTAAAAATACAACTCCTAGTCCAGCCAGAATTTCAAGTCTAGAAAAAGAAGGGCTGTGAGAGCATTCATGAAGGCTGTAAATACCAGAGGTCCTCTGAAAGTGTTCGGCTACTCCTGGCTTTTATAATACAGCAGTAGGAAATAGGTCCTACATATTTTAAATACTGATTTCTGTATGAAGCTTTAGGACATATGTATCTGAAGAAATTTACTCAAAGTTCTCTCGGTATCTCCCTCTGTTAGATAAGCCTAACAATAATGAACTATCTCAAACACAAGGCACAAGGTTTAAATTGTATTTTTTATGTATTAAGAGATTCACCTCATGAAAAACAGTGAGTGCAAAGACATATTCTGTTGTAGTAATGCAATTGCTTAATGTCTAAATATATAATTTGTTAACAACTTCTGTATTTTTTTTAGATATTCGGTTTACAAAGATCCAGCAGGCTGGCTAGAAATTAACCCTACCAATGGTACCATTGGCACCACTGCTATCCTGGATCGGGAATCTCCTTACGTTCAGGACAACAAATACACGGCTCTCTTTCTGGCGATAGACAGTGGTGAGTAACTATTACAGATCATATTCATTAAAGTGTATGACTTTCTCCCCCGCTTGAAATTTTCTGTTCAGAAAAGTGCATGTGTACCCATGCTTCAGGACTTTGCTGGGCGGCCACCTAAACATGTTGAAGGTCATTGTAACAAATAGAAAATAGAAGAATTATCTTAAAACTTCAGACTTAGAACAGCTTGGATTTAACTTTATATCTCATACATTTATTCCTGCAGTAAGATCTTAATGCTAGATGCAAATAGTCTATGAACATTCTTGGAAACTCATAAATCATCTTTATCAGACTTAATTTCTTCATAATATTTGAGCAGTTAGTAAGCCTAAGGCACCTAAATACCAATAACAACTCATCCCTGATACGCTGAATTCTCTTCTAGTCAATACAATGACAATAGAAACGTAAGTTAAAACCCTTGTTAAAATGCAATATTTTTACATATTATGTGGATTAAAGTTCCTTCTGTCAAGTATAATAAAAATATAGTGAAAATTCAGTGAGTGACTTTGCAGTAGAGAAGGAGAAAATTCCAAACATTCCAAACCTCCAGAGCTAACAGCGCAAAATAAATAAAAGTTTTGTCTATAATATAGCAGCTAATGTGCTAACACTTTTTCACAGCTGCAGCTGCCTTAGCCCTGTTGATTAATGGCCAAATGGTCTTTTTAGGACAATAATTCTACATTTTTGTAACCATGTGACTCAGGGAACATTTGCAGGGCCTTCCTTTAAATGTAAAGGAAGAAAAATTCTGCTGAGATGACAATTTACTTATATATTCACATATTTTACTTATATATTCACATATTTTACTTATGTATTCACATATATTCCTTAGGAACTTTCTATTAAAAATGTATCACTAAACTTATTTCTGTCTTTTACTTGCTATTGGCTAAGGATTATTTACATGTATCTTAAAATCTGGTACACTAGGAAATGTCATCTTACAATGAAAGTAAAAATTCAGGATAATATGATTGAGGAGTTATCTAAAGGAAAAAAGTTGCATGTTTTTTAAAAATGGAGTTAAGTATCCTCAAAGAGAATACATGGAGCAAGAATCTGAATATTTCCAACTGTGGAAAACAGTCTGGATGAAATTGAATTTTGGGGTTTACCTTTATGCTGCACTTAGGGCAGTAGCACACATTGCTCATCTATTCTAAGCCCAGAATCTCACTGCCAGGTGACCCCTATTAATTCCCAGATTTTCTTCCATTCTGGAAAAACAAGAGAAGGGAAAGGTGTCTGTATGCTGAACAGCAGAGCAGGAGAAGATATTTGGTTTGAGTTAGGGAATAAGGATTCCTGTTCAGTTGAGGTACTGAGTCAGATCTAATTCAAGCGGCTGTTACTGGGTTTATGTGTAATTTTGCAGCACTGTTCACACAGGAGCTAATCTGCTCCAACATTATTGACTTCCTTGAATTAAATAATTACAAACCACATGTGTGCATTTATGGCTGTCATGCTAAGGTGTTAATAACGAACATTCAGGAGTATTGTACTGCTTTACTGTATGTAGCTCAGCCACATGTCAAAATGGCAACAAATAGCAGAACTTAAATAGCTGATACCAACCTTGTGGTCTGTATCTCCACTGGATTCATCACCAAACAGTCTGTGAAATGCGTTAAACTTAGATGAGGTTGGCAACCGGAAAAAATATCTGTTATTCTGTATGAATATGTAAGAGTGGGATTTTGAGGAGTTGAGAGGAGCAGGAGCTCGTCTGGAGCCCCAACCTCAGACTCAGTCATACACAGGTACCTTCCTCTGGTCCCACCTGGCAGAGCACGGTGCTGGTAAGCACTGTGTCACTTTGGGCAGGCCTGGGACAGACGGGCCAGCTTTGGGTCACACGCAATCCGTTTGTGGATCGATTGCCTCGATTTGCAGACAGAACGACGCTGTCTTTGCGTGCAGGTGCTGCCAGTCCAAAACCTCAATCTAGACTGTGTCTAAAGCAACCAAGGAAATTTATAACTGCTTTCAGCGGGTCAGTTTGGGGGTCTGCCTTGTCTCCTGCAGTTATGACTAGGATTGATATTATCCCTGGAATGTGTTCTTTCACTTATTTCCAGGGCGCTGATAATGCTAACTAGCCAGGCTGTGAAATCCACTTCATTTTTCTAGCCATCATAGCTAATGTCTGCCTTGAAAAGGGATATTACGTTAGATGACAAGCCAAATTGTGGTAGAATAATATGAAGTGAATACAGAATTCTTTCAAGACTTTAAAAGAAGGTTATGTTAACTTTAAAAGGGAAAAAAACCCCAGATTGAACACAACTGTGTGCATTCTTTCTAAAATAGCATTGTCCACAAACTGCAAATCTCTTTCTTCAGGTTAGTAAGTGTAGCCTCACTAATATTAGTGAATGTGGCTAGGTCTTTTATGTGAGAGGGCAGCCAAAGGCAGAATTAAGATCTGCCAAATGAGATAGGATGGTAAATTGGAAGTTGAGAGACATTTCCAACAGAGCAAGTCATTTGCTTGGGCTGACAGACTTGGGGCGAAAAGGAAGGAGAGTTAAAAAAAACCCCATAGTTAATCGAGATACTTTTTTCAAAAGCATTCGGTGTAGGTTATTACTCCCTTTGGGCTCTCATCTCTAAGTCAAATCTGAGATATGTTGGCGCATGCACTGAGAAAGTCTGAGCTGCCGTAGACTTTCCTTTTCTTGCCTGGGGAATACAGAAAAGCTCAGGTAATGTCCGCTGCAGCGTGACCTGGAACCCAACACAGCTCCGAGCCAGGCCCAGCACACACTGCTGCTCACACGGCTTCCTGCCCGAGCCAGCTCAGGCAGAGGCCGCATCGACGATGCCTCACCCCTCTGCCCCCAAGTTCACATTCTGACAGCAGCAGTGGGAGTTTCAGCAGTGCTGACATAGTTAATCGTTAGCACAGGGGATTGCAGACGTGACACTCGCCGTGGAATGGCATCCGTGAGTTTCACACTAATTTTTAACAGAATTTATAATCAGGCAAGGTTCTAAAATTGATAAAACCTTGGACCTTAGTCCTTGCTAAAGGACCTTAGACATACACTAAACTAGTAAAAAAATATTTTCTATTAGCGTTTATAGCGTATAAATTTCATATAATTACAGAAAAGATATTTTTGTGCCATTGTATTCTGTGATCGCTTCTTTTTCAAAATGATCTTACATTCACATGATACCTTGGATGAAGAGTGGAGACAGCTGAAATCCAAAATCTCAGTGATACGTTTTTCTTAGCCTTTCCCTGATGTTGGTAGAGAATCTGTCATTGGATTCAGCAGACACTGACTTCTGGGTATTACACGTTGGTGCAGGGGATGAGTGCCAGGGTATTCTTCTTGTTCATAAAATGTTGAAGATTCCTGTCAGAAGTAAAACCAGGAGCTTCATGCTTGGTAGTTCTTTATATAAATCCATCACATCTTCATAATTTTTCAGTAAATCACAAAACTATTCTTTACCAGTAGGGAGGTAGCCGTGAAAGGATCACAGGAAAGGGAGCCACTCCACTGCAGGAAATCATTTGTTTATGATGTTAGTTTTGAGCTTTGTGTTTTTTCAACATTATCATGTTAACTACAGAGAAAGGTAATTGAGTTTGAATTATGTTATTTCCGATCTAAACAGTTCCTGTGCCTTCCCAAACATATTTGAAGCAATACGTAAGAGCAATTTTGATGGACACTGCATTAATTTTATAGATAATAAAGTTTGACCTTTTATTGGGGGAAATTTCACTTTAAAAAGGACTTTTTTTGAGTGAATATCCTAATTTTCTCTGATTTCAGTGAAGGTCAAGGTAATTTCTTTAGAATTTAAAAACTTTTTTGTTACAAACTTGTGCAGACATAGAATCTCTTGTCTATTAAAGAAGAAATTAAACACTAGTAGGAAAAATCATGAGGCAGAGTTAACAAATTAAAGTGTCACGAACTGTGTTTAATCCAAGAATGAGCTCATAATGGGACAAAGTCAGGTTTATGCAAACTTGGAAACATCAATTCACAGAAGTGCCAATACTAGTGATAATTTTATTTCCTGAATTTAGCATTCTAATCACTAAAAGCAATGTAATATCATGAGCATATAGTGCAATTATTGGCCGCATATCTCTAAAAGAGACATATGTTGAATACAGACAAGAAATCATTTTAGTTTGAGAAATCTACTGGGAGCAGACCTTCAAAATTTGCTGTGTGACCATGTGGTAGAGTCATCCTACAGATGCTGTTATACGCTGGAGTATTTGGGATGACTATCATCAAGGAGAATTCTTGTATGTTTTTCTCATAAGGTCAGTCATGCTAAAAGCTTCCCTCTGTACTCTGAGAGTTTGAGGCACAATTTAGAAAAAGCAAGGAAGGAAAAAGAAATATGAGAAGTTTGAAGGTGAAGTTAAACACTATCTGGAAAATGTGTAAAATCTAAAAAAGATAAAGTTAATTTCTCCCTTTCCTTTAAGAGGGATGAATAATAAAATATATTCAGATTTACCTCAGTTATGCAATACCCTAGTTGATGTCCCCTTTGCATAACTTTTTCTATTTAGAAGAAAAACTTTGGTTACCTTTGTTCGCATGATACATGGAAAATCCACCTCTGCTGTTCGAGTCTGTCAGCTGCTGGTGACAAGCGGTGAAACTAATACCTGGTCTCACTGATGTGGTTGACCACAGTTACCAACTTCACATTCCTTGTGCCACCCTGGTGAAGTTCCTTCCTGCCAAAATAAGCCTGGTAGCGATGTGCTCCCACTGAGACAGATTCCCTCATCTAGTGTAAGTGAGCCACCTCCCTTCCCTGCTGTGCTCGTCTCCAGGGATCTACTGACACAAAACTGGGGACTACTACTGCAATGCTTCTACTACATTAAACACAGAGGAGGATAAATGCCATTAACAACGTGGCATCTCTTCCAGATGTTTAAGATACTCAAAGGTGGAGTTAAGGGTTCAAAATTTTAGCTGATTTAGCTT